TTGTGGGCAGCCTTGAAGTGGGTTTTCGGGCTCACAAAAAAAAAAAACGGGACCCACGACTGGCCAAAATAAGGGCTCTCCTTCATACTGGATAAAAAATTCCAGCAAAATTTTGAGGTGACGTCATCAATTGTTTAGGGGTGATGAGCAAATATATTTTGACTAAAAATTTACTATGCCTATGATAGCTTTAAAACATCTCCAAGATTTCAAAACATTCGGTTTTGTGGTTCTGATTAAATCAATAAAATAAATTCACGCATTCATTAATTTTTTTGCCACCCTGTATATGCATATCCAAAAAATATGAATGGAATAATAAGTCACAGGTACAGACTCATCATATTTTGTAGCCTTTATTCGGCAAAATTTTGAGCTGACGTCATCAATTTTTTGGAGGGGATAAGTAAGTATATTTTGATTAAAAATGTATCATGTGTATCATTACTTTAAAACATCTGCAAGATTTCAACAAGGTATTCGGTTTTGTAGATTCAAAATTAAATTACAAATATGTTGTTTTATAATTTTGATTTTTTTCCAAAAATCTGGACGTTTTGGGTAAAAACTCATCACGGAGTCATAGACTATATGTGTAGGAGTATGTTATTTTATACAATATAAAACCCAGTTACTATTATACAATTTTGAATTGACGTCATCGCATTAGTGGCGGGGATGGTTAGACAAATTTTGGTTAGTGTTTACCATCTACATGATATTCCTAATAAAATACAAAATTTGACAACAATCGGCCCAGTACTTTCGGACATTATCTCGTTCGGGAAGTAAAAACTATAAATCAGAAAAAACAAGAACGAAAAAACTAAAGATTATAAAATGAAAATTTTGAAAAATCTAGAAATTGTAAATTAATAATTTCCAAATTTCAAAAAATTGAAAAATTGAATTAAAATCTGAATGGAAATTTGAAAAATTGATTTAAAAATCGACAAAAGAAAAATATGTATTGTAAAATCAAAATATTTGATTTTTTATCCAAAAGCGTATATTTCGGGGGAAGTGACTCAAGATGGATTCATAAATCACACATATGTATAGGAGTATGCTTCTTTGTGAAATATTTTAAAGCATGGTTTTGCAATTTGAAAGTTAAATTGTAAAATCTTGTTATACAATTTTGAATTTTCTCTCAAAAATATGAACATCTAGGATAAAAATTGTACACGGATTCATAAATCACACATGCAGAAGTATCTAAATCTATAAAATTTAAAATTCGGCAAAATTCGAAATCGACGTCTTCATTTTTTTTTATTGAGGGGAGGTGTTAATGAAAAAATTTTGATTAACGATTTGCCATGCTTACAATAATTTTAACGCCTTTACAGTATTTCAGAGCATTCGGTTATGCAGTTTCAAATTTGAATTGAAAGATGTTGCTATCCAATTTTAATTTTTTTCCAAAAATCTGGATGTCCTCAATTTTTCGATTTGCTATTTTTCGTTTCTATTTTTTATATTTTCTAAATTTTTCGGGTTTTTAATGTTCTGATATAAAAGAATAAATAATAGTTTAAAAAAACTAAAAAAACACGCTTTTATTGCTAATCGAACTAAAAACTAGATAATAATTTTTAATGACAGAGTTTAATATTACAGTAGTAGAAGATCAAACAATCAATCATAATAAATCACCTCAAATTAAAATTATAATAAAATTTAAGTTATTAACAGAATAATTCAATTCAGAGTAAAAAGCGTGGGGTGCTTGATATTTTAAATATTACAATCATTCTATTGGCAACTATCTATGAGAGGATAGTTATGAACCGCAGTAAAATGCACCCCACGCTTTTTACTCTGAATTGAATTATTCTGTTAATAACTTAAATTTTATTATAATTTTAATTTGAGGTGATTTATTATGATTGATTGTTTGATCTTCTACTACTGTAATATTAAACTCTGTCATTAAAAATTATTATCTAGTTTTTAGTTCGATTAGCAATAAAAGCGTGTTTTTTTAGTTTTTTTAAACTATTATTTATTTTTCATTTTTTAGTCTGCGACAAATTCATAAATTGGGGAATTAATTAGCATGCGCAGATCGCGCGCTAGCTTTATCTCTTTTACTCCACTACACAGGATCCATAAAAAAATTTATAAATCCTGGCGGTCCTAATAAGGATAATGGGAAACTGTTATCAAATTATTGCATTGTCATCGATCCTTGAGACGTGTGCAAAGTTTCAAGATGATCAGACTTTTAGAAACCGATGAAAATTAAGCTCAAAGATTCCGTTACATACATACATACAACCCAAGCTAATAAAAGCGTGATAAAAATGATAAAATTTGTCTTTCCTTCACTGTGAAGTTAGTCAGTTTTTGGATTTTTGGAACTTTTACGGTTTTTAATTTTTGGATTTCTCAATTTTAGATTTTTCAGTTTCTCGATTTCTCAATTTTTCGATTCTTCAATTTTTGATTTACAATTTTTCTAGTTTTCATTTTAAATATGTAACAATTATAATTTTTATTTATTTTTACTATTTCAGTTGTACGATTATAGGTTTTGTCATGTTTCAGTTATTGAATTTTTAAAAGTTTTTATTTATTCGATTTTTTAATTTCTCAATTTTGTTTACTCGATTTTTAATTTTTCAATTTATGGATATTTAGTTTTTCAATTTTTTAATCTTTCAGTGTTAAACTTTTCAACCTTACAATTTTTCAATTCCTTACTTTTTTCGATTTTTAAGTTTCTAGAGATTTAGTTTTTCAATGTTTCAGTTTTTCGTTTCTTCAGTTCTTCGATTTGCAATTTTTCGATTTTCCACTTTTACGATTTTGCAGTTTTGTGTTTTTTGAGTTTCCGGTTTTTCAATTTTTTTCCAGTTTTTTAGTTTTTTGGTTTTTAATTTTTCGATTTTTAAGCTGTCCAATAAACAAAAATGGAAAAACTCTAAAATTGAAAAAGCAAAAATTAAAAAACTAAAAGGTATAAAATAGAACTTTGAAAAATCTAGAAACCGGAAATTAAGAATTTCCAAAAATACAAAAATCAAAAAAAATTCAAATTGAAAATAAATTAAAATTTTGAATGAAATTTGAGAAATTGATTTAAAAATCGAAAAAGTACAAACTGGAAAAAAGAAAAATATGTATTGCAATATCAAAATATTAAAAATAAAAGAAATCTAAAAATCGGATAACTGGTATTTCAAAATTTGCAAAACTGGAAAATTTAAAAAATTGGAAAATCCAGAAATTCAACCAAAGATTGAAAATTTGAAAAATTGAATAAACGAAAAATTATAAAATTGAATAAAAATTGAAAAACTAAAAGAAGTGAGAAAACGAAAAATTATTATATAAAATTAAGAAAGTGAAATATAAAAACCAAAATTTTGAAGAATTGAGAAAACGAAAAACTGAAAAATCCAAGAATTCAAAATTGAGAAACTGAAAAATCAAAAAATTAAATACTGCAATATGGAAAAATTGCAAATCGAAAAATTGAAGAAACAAAATATTGAAATATTTAGAAGTCGAGGAATTGGTCGAAGCTTATTATTAATAATCCAGATTTTTTGAAAAGTTGTAAGATATAAGTTAAAGTAAAGATATATAGTGTTAAAGTAGATGCAAAGAAGCGTGTTACAAGTATTATTGTAAATTTTGGGAATGATTAGCCCAATTTTGATTATATGAGTTTTATCTTCATGAAATTCTTAATATATCTACAAAAGTTGATGAAAATCGGCCCGGCAGTTTCGGAGATTATGTGTATAATCAAAATTGATACCGACGACAGACAGACTGACAGACAGGGATACCTCCCTTTTCGTACTCTAGAGATTTTCCAACCAAAATTCATTTTTTTTAAACATTCAACACCCATTTTCATCTCGAGAATCCCATTTTTTCTACTCAGCTCAACGCCACACCCTTCTCCCCTCTAACTTTAGCAAAATGGTATAGCCCAGCACCACAACTGACCAAACTCAAAATTAACACACTGACAGTGTAAAACCCAAAATTTCCCAACCAAAATTCAAATTATAATTTTTTTGAAACATCCAACACCCATATTCATCCTGGAAATTCGGGTATTTTTTCCCTTCAGTTGAACGCCACACTCTTCCACCCCTCTAACTTGCGCAACTTGGTATGGTCCAACACCAAATCGGTCAACACCAAAACTGACCAAACCCAAAATTAACCTACCCACCAAAAAAACAAAAATTTTCCCAACCAAAAATAAAATATATTTTTTTTAAACATAACCACCACCCATCGTGGTAATTTCCAAAAATTAATAGTTGTCTCGCCACCAAGTAATATCACGCGATCAAGCAAATTAGCGGTTAGCAACAATTAATAACCAATCAGGATCCGCCGTGTTCAACCCTGTCACGTGACGTGGCAATCTCCAAAAAAGTAGATCCGAAGAGACGCTTCCAAGCGTCTTCGTCTTGTGTGATCTGGCGTAGCGGAAGCTGAAAGTGAGCTCTTCGAAACAAGAATTTTGCAAGTATTTTGACTAAAATTAAGTGTTTTTGACTGTCGAGGAAGGGTTGAAGAGCGACTTTGGTCATTTGGTGCTGGTTTTCGTTTCCAAGGGGGCAAGAAAAGAGTTTTCGCCGAAGACTAAATCGTCATCCAAAACCAGGAAAGTACAGATGTTTTCTTTATTTATAAGAGTCTTCAAAAAATCAGTTTGTTCGTCTTCATGTGGTTGTTTTTTGAATTTGTGACCGTTTTTCGCTTTTGTTGCTGTGCCGCCATCTTGTCATCAATTTTGGTGGCAGCGGCACCTCGAATTTGCATCTATTTTAGTTTAGTCGCAACAAAATCGTCCTTCGGCTTAAATTAAATGTTAAATATCGTGTCGATTCCAAAATTTTGAAAACGTCTTATTATTAAATTCGGATCATTCATCCCCCCCCCCCCCCCCCCCCCCAAGATCAGTTTTCACCAAGCGACCCCCTAGCAACAATTAACAACCAATCACGATCCACCTATCACGTGACATGGTGGTTATAAAAAAGCAAATCAAGCGCGACGCTTCCAAAGCGTCTTGTGTTCTCGAAGAAGTCGGAAGTGGAAATTAGCTCTCACAAAAAACAAATTTGCAAATGATTTTATTAAAAGTGGTGACTTTTGGTTATCAAAAAAGACCATCCTCCGGTTTTCGTTATTTGGTGCCGTTTTTTCTCCTCCACGACGTGCCAATACCGAATTTTTGCAGAAAAACGAAGCCACCTCTGGGGCGTCACCCTCAGCAAGGAGAGTGAGTTTTTTCATTTTTTCTAAAAGTCGTCAAAACATTTTTTAAATTTTTTGACGATTTTTCGCATTTGATTATCAATTTTGGTGGCAGCAGCAAAATCGCGCTTTGAGTTTACTCGACCAGACAGGAGCAAAATTTTTGAATTTTGAAATTGTGATATTGTCTGATTAAAAAATAATAATTTCAACCAAGTAAGTCAGTTTTCACGGAGCGGGCCCTAGCAACAATTAGTAACCAATCGCGATCCACCCGTATCGTGACGTAGGTGGTGGTCGCAAAAGTAATCAAGCAGGACGCTTCCAAAACCCAAGCGTCTTGTGTCTTGTGCTCTCTAAGATGGCGGAAGTGGAAATTAGCTCTCACAAAAAACTAATTTTGCAAGTGATTTCTCAAAAAGTGACTCCTTTTCGTTTTCAAAAAACCGTGAATAGTGATTTTCCTCATCTGGTGTCGTTTTTCTCGTCCAAGACGGAATTATCCTCGAAAAACCGCAAAAATCTGTAAAGTATTTAATTTTTTTAATTTTTATCAAAACCCACGTTTTTGTTTAAGACCGCCATTGTTGATATTCCTTTATTTAATTTGTGCGACCAGTTTGAATTTTGGTGGCAGCGGCCACACGATTTCGGTTTTTATTTATTACTGGAGACAATTTTGGCAACTTTGCTTCAAAAATCAATTTTTGATAAATTTGATGATCTATTTTTGTCAATATATCGATTTTTTGATAAAGGCGTTTCGGGATGAAAATTAATTTGGTGACGTCATTTCCTAGAGGGGTAGCAATTATTGGTCACTCTCTCCAAATTCAAATCTAACGGTTTGTGTTTTACGCAAATCTGGACAATAAGTGGTGGGGGGCTGAGATGCGTCAGTAGATTTGCATCTTTCGTCTTGGGTGCAACTGCTCCAATGGCTGCCGAAATTTAAAAAAGTGAATAAGCTATTAGTTAAGTATTTGGTGCGCATTGAACGTGATTAGTGAGTAATGTCATTACAAGTGCGAGTTTTCAAAATTGATAAACTTTCATCGACTCAAAAATCATCGATAAAGCTTTCAATTGTCAGTGGTGCGGTTTTTTCACAAACCAAAGTAATGTTAAAGTGTGCAGTTTAAAAATTTTCGTGACCAAAGTGTATTTGGCAGTTGTCAAAATATCGAAATCGTCGTCCTTTGGAAATCGAGTTTCTTCAAATTATTGGTGGGATTGTTGCCACAATTCTCCCTTAGCAACAGAAAGACGCTTGATAAATCGGCAAATCTGGAAAGTGGTGGGGTCAAGTATTACACTATTATTCAGTTTATAAGGTTTATCGTGAGTAGTTCATTTTATTGTGCAAAATTCTTGAATTTATTGTACGAGTGCATGTACGCGTTATATTGGTACTAAGTCGCCGTTGATAAGTAGATCGTGTGCTTTGAGCTTTGCGACATCGATAAACGCCGATTATCTGCGGAATTGGTGAGCTTTTTTATTATCAAAACCGAGTTAACTTCTAAACTGATTGTCATTTCGTTACAAAATTTCGGCATCAAAAGTCTTTTAATCAATTTTAGTGATATCGAAATCGAATTAACTTTCAAACTGGTTTTATCGCAAAAATTTTGGCAATAGTTACAGTTACAGCTTCGTTGTTCATGCTACGGAAAATCAAAGGGTGACCGAGTTTTTTATTGTTTCTATTGCTACATAATAACATTTTTTCGGCGTGGATTAATATCAACCTAACAGCTGTTGAAAAATTACTCCTTCATTCGATTTCAAGAAAATGATATTCATTTCTTCCGGTGTTGTGAAACGCAACTGGTGTTTTTATGCACCGGTTTCCTTTATCCTTTGCGCTACGCCGCCTGCACGTGTGCTTAAAAATTGCGCTTCCAAGAATCAGGACCACGATGATTTTTACCCGAGTTTAAACAACAGGATTCTTAAATTATCTGAAATTATAACTGCCATCACATATTTTCACTTGTTGTAAGATACCCAAAATCACACTGGACGCACGTGTCAACCATTATGACAACTGAACGCTTACAAAAGCAAAGGCATTTCTGACATCGCAAATTTGTAGCTCGGTTCTTGAAACACCCGTTGCAGTTAGATAATTGACGAAACTGTAAAGGGTGTTTCATAAACTTGGCTGCAAAACGACACAACTGTTATCATTTTTTGTACAATATTTGTCTCATCCCTTGTTTCATTCGTTATTTAAATGAATGGCAAGTCATGACGTGTTTTTTTTCAAAATTTTGCAACGTTTTCTCGACAGGGCGGGATTTTTAAATGCTTGTTTCTGAAACAGTTTTTTGGTTTAGGTCGGTGTCGGGTTCAGGGGAAGAAAGAAGAATCAAGAGTCTGATTACCCTGCTCTGGCTACTTTTAAACAGGTATTTGTTAACAAACTGAATAAATAGGTTTTAACTATTTTTCGTCTGTTGCAAATACAAGCATCAGGACGACCAAACGGACCTGTTGACTTTCCAAGGTGTCAAGACCATCACCAAGAAGACTTTTCTAATAACAGGTATTTGTTAACAAAAAAAAAAACTGGTTTTTAACCGCATTTCTTTTGTTACAAATACAACAGTCAAGACGACGGGTCTGATGCCAAATCTACAAACCCTTGACCAATGGATGACGACAGAGGGCGTTGGAGCAGCTAAAAGGTAATTTATTGCAAATTTCATTTTATTAATATATTTTTTATCATAATTTATTTATTAACTTTTAAGTTGGCTAAACATTAATTTTTGTTTTTGTTTCAGGTAGGTGCAGTGTCCATTTATCTCGCATGAACATTCCTCAAACGCACAATCAACTTGAGAATTTAGAAAACATCTGTGCAAGGTAATTGATAAACCTCTAATGATAGTGATACCCGAGAAATGTGAGAATTGAGATAACTGCAGTTACCACTATTTCGAAATGACAAAGTCCAACGTAAAGTAATAAACTTGGTACGTGACTTGATGTTTGAATATTTTAATTCAAAAACAGCAACATTTTTGGCTTCAAAATTTTCATTTGGACTTTAAACTTGTGGTAACTTCTCTTTTTTTGGATTTCTAAATTTTGATATTTTTTTGACTGTGCGTTTTCTATTTTTGTTTCTACGTACCGTGGAAATTTTAAGTTCAAAATTAACATAGTTTGGAATTATTTGGTTCGACTTTAAATTATTTTTGAAATTCACGTTGATAACATACTTTTGTTTTCGATTTTGATTTTGGCATAAATTTTTGATAATTTTTTGATTTTCTATTTTAATTTTTACGTTTCGTCGAATTTGACTTTAAGTTACTTTTAATATTCGCCTTGATACGAGACTGATGGCGATAAACACGAAATTATTTTGTTTTTATTTTCGTGTTGCGACTTTTACTTTAATTTTGACGTTTGTGCAGTCTGTAATTTCAAAATAACTTCACTGATACATTTCGAGTTTTTTTTAACAGTTCCAAATTTGTTTTTAGGTTTTTGTTAACAAAATTTTGATAATTTTTGTCATTCAAAATTTTTGCTTATTTAAAGTTTTGTAGATTCTAAATTAATTAAATTTTAAATTAATTAAATTTTAAATTCATTAAATTTTAAATTAATTACATTTTAAATTCATTAAATTTTAAATTCATTAAATTTTAAATTAATTAAATTTTAAAGTAGTTTAATTTATTATTTTGGTCTTTGCGAATAACTAATTCGTAGCAACTATTTTTTTTTGAAATTGATTATTTAAATCCAAAATGTCAAAATGACTGCACAGACATTTGATTCAATTTCCATAAAATGTTTTCTCTCCACAGGACTAAAAATAAAACCTCGGTTACCGCCTTAACCCAAAGTGATTTGTCCGCGTCCGTAAAACTTACGCGCGTCTAAATTAACCCCGGTTACCGCGCGTTAACCTACAGTTACCCGGTCGCGTCCGAACAGTTACTCGATAAAAATAACCTCGGTTACCGGCGTTAACTCAAAGTGACCCCGAACACAAACCCGCGAGTAAAACAACCCCGGTTACCGGCGCTAACCCAAAGTGACCCTGACTACTTAAACCCGCGAGTAAAACAACCCCGGTTCCCGGCGCTAACCCAAAGTGACCAGTCGCGAGTGAAATAAACTTTGTTTACCGCTCGTTAACCCAGAGTTACCCAGTGTTAAATTAACCCCGTTTATCGCTCGTTAACCCAAAGTTCCGGTGGTGCCGAAAACAGACTTTTCGACTTTTTAGTGGTATCCTGGTATCCTGGTTGCAGTTTCATCTACCGGTAAGTCGATTTTTGTGTTGCATGCTGCGGTAATTATTGCGGTTAAATTGAAGCTTAACGTACTGCATCGAATCTGTACACGACAACATAAACAGGGGATATTAGACACAGGTTTCCCTCCCCTATAGAGATTCCGAACTGCGGTTTAGCTTTTCACTGATAACTTCAGTAGTAAATCGGCTTATCGTACAAATTAATAATTGGAAATTCATTCCGCGCTTTGCTTCGTCATCAATCGTACTCCAGGCGGCTCCGGGGCGGATGGAGTTGGAGTAAATACAGAAAAAAAGGAATTTTAGCTGGAAAATTTGACGATTATTAGACATACTAATCGCGGTTTAATTTTTTTTGCGACAAGGTATAGATTTTTTGATTTACCAGGCAATGACACCAGCTTTTGTTTGAATACAATAATAATAATAATTTAAATCAATCGTATATAACTTTGATGTGCAACAAAGACGGAGCTATCGGGTTGGCTGCGTCTACAGGAACTCTAAATATTGACTTTTTTTTTTTTTTTGGTTTTAACTTATTTTAATTATTGGTACGTATATTTTTTTTTTTAATTTTTTCTCATACTTTTAATTTTTTAATTAATAATAAAATATATTTAACTACAAAATGGATACATTTGTAATAAAATTTGCTAAAATTTGTAGACAGAACTTTTTGTATATTTAATTATTAGTTAACGTAATTAGTTTGACTTTTGCATTGTCATTTGTTTATAAATTTTTGTGAACTGGTGTAAGATCGATAGCGTATTAAGCTTGAGGATTTCTGTCTCGATGCCGGTGGGCTAAAAGCTTTTATTAAAATTCGATCTGAAATCTTCTTAGGTTTTCTACTCGTGTCTTATTTATTTTCTCGTGTCTATGTTGCATAATGTTATTAAACGTAGAGCAGACGATAAAAGCTTTATCGGTGGAAAATTAAAGTAGGAAGCTTTTAGAAATGCGAAGAGAAATACAAAAATAAAGCTTTGAAATATAGTTAAAATACCCTCTGCGTTAAAAGTGGCCTTAGTGACACCCTTTAAAGTGATACATAATTTTATAATACATTTATGCGTTGTATGGAGCTAGAAACTGTTTCGACATAAAAGCATTTTGTAATTGAATAAACTCTTGACTAAAAAGCTCACAAACTGAAATTTTATTAAGTTATGTGTCGGCTCTCAGTTTTCGCTGCACCTAGTAACTAGAGTCGCGAAATTTTAACTATTAGCTAAGTGAGTTAATCGACGTATCGAATTATGCGTCCAGTTATGACGAACGTGTAGCGCAACGTACTCTGGCTGTTGTTAACTATAATAAATACATTATAGCCTGCGTAATGCAGTTACAGAACTGAACCCTGTCACAGCTTCAGAATGTTGTTTCGATAAACCAATTACATAACCCTTCATAGGACAAACATCAAACCGCAGCAGGTTATGTCAAACTGCGCATCACACGATCCATTATCGCTAGTTCAAGATTACAAGGCGGTTCCCACCCCCGGCCCTGCCTGCCCCCGATAAATTGCCCTGTCAATTTGGGTAAATACGTGCGCCAGTTTTGCTAAAAATCGCAAAGCTCGTGTTTTGACAAGGTGTGAGCGTTTACAAATTGCCACTTAAAACCATTGTTCGATATTCTAAAGGACCGAATACCTCGCCTTTTTTCGGCTGCGTCTACCTACTCGAGGACCTTTTTATTTTCGGCAACCGAATACCCATTGTGGTTTTGTAGCACCGATAAAAATAATATTTAATCAAATTTATTGCAACATTGCAGATGTGAGGGATAATTGACGCTCATATTTCACCACTGAGCTCACAAAACGGACCGCAACTTGAGTTTATCCAATTTCATTTCATTGTCGACCCCAAACTCGCTCCTTTTATGCTCGGTGCTTGCACTTGTCTGATAAACGGATTACATTGTTTTTGCATACATGATCGGATGCTAATTTTCTTCTATGAGTTCTAAACTACTTAAATTTATTCCGCAAAATTCGTACATCGGTTTTAGTCTTTTTTTTTACTTATAATATTAAAATTATGGCTGTTTCAAATTTTGTTTCCGAAGCATAAGCTCTCTAATTAATTAATAATTTAATAAGTGACATGTTGAGCAAAAATAGAGTCAAAATTGTTATGGAAATCACTTTTCCCTTTTAAATTTTTATCACATTGTTAAAAAAATACCTGTTAAAGTTAAATTTTTTTCAGAGATAACTTATCGTCGAATATTACCACTATGATGAGAGTCATCGGTATCAGATATGACTTATGTCAACATGATTGATAACCAGATTCTGAGTGGTAATTTGTCTTATCAAAATGGCTTCTGTGGATATTTTTCTTTCATATTTTTCATTAAAATACCAATATAATTTTTGTATTTTGTTCAACTTGTCATTAAATGTATCTTCCACCACAAACAAAATCTGAGACAGCCTGCATATTTACTAAAAATAACAGCGTGTACATTTTAAAATTATTTTAAATCAGTAATTATGTTCGAATTGTTTTCTCCACCATTTCTTCAGGACACCCTGTATACGCGCATTTTAATTTTCTCCCAAACGTGTTACGTTTTATGATGTTACATTAATATTCGACATTTTAAAATTGTTGGAATTACTGTATTATTATTTTTTTAATGTTTATAATGTAAATTTATCTTGAAATTGCTACTATGATGACTAACGCTGTAATCCGATAGGTGGATTCATGATGACAACCTAGATCTGAGTGGCAATTATCTTCCAAATTAACTAATAGACGATAATTAATAATTTTCACATTTTAAAAAATTAACAACTGCGATAATACCGTCAATTGTTTTTGTGTACTTCGGTCAACTCATTCCCGCTGCTTTTTTTGTTTGGTTTTACAAAAGATGTCCCCATAGTCTTGGTGGGGGTGTTACTGCGGATGCAGTCGTCGTAATCTTAAACGTCTGTGTCTGTAGTATCACCTTTACCGGGATTAATTTCCCAAACTTTGGAGAAATTTTTGGAAAAAACTTCGACTTCGATTTTCTCATAGATTCTGGCGTTCTCGGTCTAGGGTAGTAACTTGCATAAATACTTAATTTTCAAAATGTATTATGTAAGGGCTAATGTTCTTGGTGATATTTTGCCGTACAATGGATATAGTGATTATAGGTTTTGAAGTTTATTTTTTTCTACCTGCAGAAGTGTTTTCTGGCTGATAATTTATAATTCATTTGTGAATGGTTTATATAGGGTCTCAGTACCGCGTTTTACCCTTGATATATTTTTTGTGTCAATTAATATTGATATTAAAGTTAAAAGTCCTGTTTTATGAAGTTATATTAATTTTCTAATTATTTTAATGTTTACACATCAATTAATAAACAAAGACAAATTTTAGGCTTTAAAAGTAGATTTACGTGCATATCGGATATTGCCACAATGATGACTAACGCTGTAATCGGATAGGTGGATCATGACGATAACCTAGATCTGAGTGGCAATCTTCGTCCGCCATTTTGTCAAGTTTCTTGAATAATTGCACTTTAAATTAAATTTTACATTTGCAATGGACTGTACATTCTTAAGTACGTTCTATAAAACGTGCATATTAATATTTTAAAAATCTTGAACTTATTCACGATGATTTTTTTTTTTTTTTGGATTAACACGAGAATTATCTTATAGATTATGTTCGCGGCTGAGGCTAGTAACTTGTAACTTTGTGTTAAAAAATGTATTATGAACGCGTTACCCTTAATTGAAGAGTTTCAGAATTTTCTTG